TGTATCCAAAATAGCGGGTGCGGAGGTGCTCTCACAGGTCTGGGACTAACTAGAGGTGGGATTCAGGTAAATACTTGTTTAATCCCTCCATTGTTTACCTGTTAAAATGAAATATGATCTTGTTGGTACTTTTGCCACTTTCATTTTTATAAATACATTTTTTGACTCTAAATTTGACGATGAATTATATAAAGTTAGTAATAGATACTCAAAAATATTGAGATTATTTTTGCATCTTTATCCATAAAGCTCAGTCATTCAAAATAGCCAAGGCCTTTGCTTTGGTTTGGCTATTTCGGCAATAAAAACTTTCAGTTAGGCACATCCTGTCTCTATAATATATCAGTATCACACATGCAGACGTGGGCTTTTCTCAGTGACTTTGGCAAGATGGTTGCAGCACGCCTGTTTTTAAGCAATCCTTTGTTTCTGTTGCGGTGAGATGTTCCGACTGTTTTATGGGATACAGTATCATTGTACTGTCTAATCTATATTCCCAGTAATCCTTTAATAGCAACTAATAATTGCATTTTTTACCATAGAGTGCTAGTGGTCGGGGACTTGCAGCCATTGAAAAAGGGAAGAAAAGCATTTCTTGGTCTGCCTCGTAACAGGAGCAAAATAAAATTAAATGGTTAAGAGACCTGAGAAGCATTTCTCTCTTTCACGTACCACTTGCTGGTTCAGCCCAGGGTAGGGTAGCTGTGATTGTTAGTATTCAGGTTGCTGTTCAGGTGACATGCTTAATACGGCTTTAACGGCCTGCTTAATAGTGAAGGAGGTTCAAAATTGCTAAAATTTAGCACTCCTGCTTTCATCAACTGTTTACACAGTTGCCAGTTGTCAGTAAAAATTCTTCAGTTTGAATATGAATCTGTTCTTCCAAAGTCCAAGAGCCAAATTAAGTTTTCTGGATGAGGTGGAAGCTCATGCTGCTGTGGGAACTGCTGTTTTGTAGGCAAACTGGAGTATTTTTGAAGTGGTATGCTTGATTTTTTTTTTTTTTTTTTTTAACAATACTGATAACAGTGAAAACTGCTAAGCGTGAAAACAAACAAAAAAGTTGTCTACGTAGTACCCCAGACAGGCTGCAAAAAAGCCGGCGAGAAGGGGTGAGTGTTTGTAACTGCTTCTTTGGATTTGCAAAAACCCTTGCGGAGGTGGGGAAGCATAAATCACCCCAAAAAAACACACAAAAAAAAAAAAAAAAAAAAAAAAAAAAAGAACAGAAAAACTAAGAACTATGCAAGGAGGGACCGGGGGGGGAGCAGGGAGGGACTGGTGCTGGTGACTCTGCTCTTCCCCCGCCCCATCCTGCCCATCGCATCCATCCTGCCCACCCCGGTGCTGAGCCCCTGACTAACACAATGAACCCTCTGGCAGCGCGTTATTAGATAACGGCGTGTGAGTTCACTTCTTTGTACTAATTGCCACCTTCGCTTACGCTGTTAAAAGTTACGAAAGGGCTGGTGTTAAGGTGAACTTGATTTTCACTGTTATCCCCACGGATGTAACGTGTTTATACGGAGAATTAAAGTCGAGCGGGCTGTCACGGTGACCTCTGAAGCATTTAGGCATTAAGCGGCAGGGTCACGGTAAGTCCCTCTTTTAGGGGCTTCTAACTTATCTGTAAATATTAATTTCAGATCAGTCCTGGCACATTCACTCTTGGCGGGGTGGTGCATCGCTTTGCCAATTTACCACGAGGTTGACAGGGCCGGTAGTAACGTGAAATTAGGGGGGTTTTGACCGGTGAATAATGCAGCGGTGATGTCTGTAGGAGGAAAATATCCAAGAAGTCATTCACCCATCGCCTGGCATTAAACAAGGGGGTGGTCAGCCTGGAGAAGAGAAGGCTCCGGGGAGACCTTTTTTTTGGCCTTTGATACTTAAAGTGAGCTTGTAAGAAAGGTGGGGACAGACTTTTTTGTAGGGCCTGTTGAGATAGGACAAGGGGTAATGGTTTTAAACTACAAGAGCGTAGATTTGGACTAGGTTTAAGGGAGAAATTTTTTAGGGTGAGGGTGGTGAAACACTGGAACAGGTTGCCTAGAGAGGTGGTAGATGCCCCATCCCTGGAAGGGTTCAAGGCCAGGTTGGACGGGGCTGGGAGCCCCCTGGGCTGGGGGAAGGGGGCCCTGCCCGGGGCAGGGTGGGGGCACTGGATGGGTTTTAAGGTCCCTCCCAACCCAAATCGTTCTGTGAGTCTCAGAAACCCTCCCAACTCCCAATGTGGCCCCTGGGTGCCATGGACTCAGCAGCTGGAGGTGGGAACGGGGGAGACACCGAGGAGACTTGGAAACCCTTCCCCATCCTTCGGTCCACCTCCACCGCTGTCTTCCCAGGGCAGCTCCAGCTCCCAGTGGGAACAGGGGAGGTGGTGTGAATTTGGATGTAAAACCTGACAAATTATCGGTCGTTTAAATGAGAAGTGGCACCTAGCAGCCCTGGTTGCTCTGGTTTGGCCATAACACGTGTTCCTTGGCAAGAGGGCAGTCCGGGTCACTTGGAGGGAGTACGGTGGGTGCCGAGGAAGGAGAAAACCTCTGACATTCCTGGGGTTCAGTTCAGAAATTGCTCTGCTGGCATCTGCCACTCCGGAGTGACGCAGGCATCCCCAGCGCGCGGCGGTGTGAAGTGTTTTCATGTAACGAGAGAATTTGTGTGTGTTAATTTTTATGTGCGTATTTTACGGCACTTTATAATGATATTTAACAGCATAAAACGTTGGCACACGCTGAAAATTGGTGAAAGTTCAGCCATCTAATTTGGGCAGGTTATGCTTACAGGCACTCACACTTGCAGACAGTTTAATAACAGTATTTGGCACTGTCTCTTAGAGCTGCTTAAACTAATTAATGCATTTGCTCCCTACAGGATGAAATTGAGTTTTCAGATACATTTATAAAATGATGTGCATGATTGCTAAATATTTCATTCTTTTGAACTATAACTTTGAGTGTTTTATGCGGGTGCAGAGACAGTATATATTTTCCCATGAAAAATGTACAGTGGCTCTGGAAAGAGGATAATCTCTGCCCCTGCTTGTCAGAAGAGGATAATCTCTGTCCCTCTTTCAGCACGTTAAAAGGTACTCGATAATTCGGGCATCGCTTGGCATGGTGATGCTCTTGCTGGGGGGGGGGCAGGGGGGCAGCTCTGGGGCTCCGCATCCGCTTCTCCCCTTATTCCCACGGGTTGCAGAAAGTTACAGGTCCGTCACGTCCCAGCCCGCCACCTCCCCTGCCAAAAGTGAGGGCAAAAAAGGGGATTTTTTTTGGATTCAGGCCCTGGCGACGTGCAGTCACTGCGTTTCATTGATTTAAAAGATGACATCAGGCAGTAATTCCCCGAGACCCCTGAGTAGGCGAGGTTAACACTAATCTTGCCGGCTTAAAAAGAAGGTTAAAAAAATAATAAGTAACAATTTGTTTTGAAATAAACCTTTCTGAAGAAATCACAGTAAACAAAATCTGTTTGCCTAAGGAAACCCTCCTAGCAATCAGCTAGTAACACAACTGCTTGTGCTAATGAACCCAAAGCTGTTAATGTGGTTTCTTCAGTTAAATTGATTCATGAATTTTGAAGAGAACATTATCTAATGAATTTTCTTTGAATAGAAAGCAATTAAAAGGACAAATCAGTCTGATTAACCCCAAAGTCACCCTACTGCCACAAATGGTGTACAGTTTGAAATTATATCATAAAAAACTAGAGCAGATTTGCTATCTCTTTGCCCTCTACTAATCCATGTAAATTAATGAACAACAAAGTTAATTTCTTTGATGACCCTTTTCTCATATCACCTGGATTATGCTGATGTTTAATTTGCTTAATGTTATAATAAAGACTAAACAGATTTTTTCAATGAAGTGATTATCATTCCCTTCAGTTAAGAAGTGATTTTTATTATTTAACACACACATAATGGTGTATGGGTTTCCTTTAAGAACAAAATCACATTTCGCTATGTTCCTATGTAAAGTAATCAATGTCTTTTTTGACGACTAAAGAAAGAAAATGTTTTTAATCAGTTTGTTTCTTTGCCAAAGCAGGAGACTGAAGCTCTCAGCTGGGGGAAGGGGTGTCTCTTCCTTTTTTTTTTTTTTTCCTTTTTTCTTTTTTTTTTTCTATTCGCCAGCTCTCTCCTCTCAGTAAGTTATTCACTAGTTAGATCTTCAAAGCTTTTCCAAGTGCCTTGGATGAGCAATAGGTGTTCAACCCAACTAAAATCCAAACGCGACTCTCGGTTTTCCTTTTGTGAGATAATCCCTGGCTTGGGAAGGTAAAACCCTGAGATGCAGAAGAAAGCTGGTCCTAATGCATTTGCTTATTCATTATTTCAGCAGTTGGAACACTTAGAAGCAATTTGCTGGTGAATTAAAATTAAAATAATGGAAGATACATTATTTTTTTTCAGAGCCCTGTGTCATTAAGGATGTGCCGTACATTCAAGGTCACAGCTAGTCCTTACATTTTGTAATGTCTGCGGTGCCGAGCAGTAGCTTGGGGGTCTCGACTATAAAATGCAGTCAGCCAGGATAATACCGAGTCCGCTGGCTCTAGGGCTTCTTCCGCCGCGTGTCCCAGCTGAAGTTGGAAATTAGCTGGAGATGCAAGGGCTTTGTAAAATAGGTAGAGCCGGTTATTTCTTCCCTTTTTAATTTGACTCTATGCTAATTTATACTCTGCCAATTTAATGGGAAAACCACATTGTATGAGTTAACAGGATAATTGTACTTGAAGCAAATTAAAAATATAGGAAAATCAAAGCCTTAAATCCTTTTTTATAGTGATCGGTTACTTGAAGCGCTCTTTCTAATAATCATGTATTTAAATGTAGTAATACAGGCTACAATAGCAGGACAGTGCGTCGGGGCTGTTTCAATTTAAATTAGAAAGCTGCTACTGAGCCTCAGCATTGGGGTTTTTTTTGAATCTTTCGTCTCGGTGTTTTCCAGCCGTGCGTACGAACGGTGCTCGCTTCCTCTTCTTTGCAGATTCGTTCACCGGACAAGTGCTGTGGACCCTGTTGAGACACGTGAAGTTTGGAGAGGCCGTTTCCTACAAGCAATTAGCAGACCTCGCCGGCAACAGCAGAGCGGCGAGAGCGGTGGGAGGAGCGATGAGGAGCAACCCTGTAAGTTCACGTCAACTTTGACATAAAGTTGATGGAAGATGGTGGATTTAGAGAGCTTTGTGGGCTAAATGTCACTAGATTAAATTTATCTGCTATGAAAACTGGTCTACCATGAGTAATAAGGTCAGTAAGTGTTTTTAATCAGCAATAATGCACAACCTAGTTTAATGTGATTTATTCCCTACCACTTAGGGTGTTAGATTTGAAAGAGAAACACTTCTTTTAATTCGTCGGCCTCTATGCGTTTTGTTGTTCTCAAACTTTCTTACGTATTCTGAGGTGAGGGAAGTCTTTCATCCCCTGACATGGACCTCGTTTTGACGGGGTACGAGTAGCTCTGGTTGTGTTAACAGCAGTCCATCCTCTCTGGCATGGATATGTTTCTGAAAACGTGGAAGAGGAGGGATATTAAATCATGTAGGTAGACATTTTAATCAAATCCCTAATTGTCAATATGTTGGGTTCTTTTTTTCCCCCCAAGTGCTCCACACCAGCTGTAAATGGCATTTGTCCATTAGACAGAGGTGAGTTCCCTGAATTTGAACCAACCGGAGGGAGTAGCGCTCTAGGTTGGGCCTGTGGATTTTGGAAAAACGCTGCAATACTTGTCTGTCTTCACAATAACTATCTTGCCCTTTTAGCTGCCCAGGTTTAGATTTCCAGATGTATTTACGCACCTGAATCCCATGCCTGGTATGGGACTGGTGCTGCGGGCTGCAGCCAGCTGGTTCCTGTGCGAAGGAAGGGGAAAGCTGGTAAAGAGAACGCCACTATATCTGTCTTTACACATTCATTCCCTTGCTACTTGCCTTTAAAAAACAAAAAAACTTTGATTTCTATTAATATCACTGCAGCCTTTTTAGCCGTTGTTCAACTTATTTTCCCTCATTACCACTTGCCTGGAGCAACATGTGTCTTTCCATACCCAAATTCCTCTCCTTTTCTCCAGCATTATACCTGGCGTAATCTTTGACCTCCTGTGTTGTTTTTACATTCAGTCCTCCTTTAATAAGGTACATATGAGACTGCAATGTGTAGTTGCAAAGTGGGTTAGAAAATCTTTTTTCAGAAGAGCTGGTGGCTTTGAGTATGGAAATGATAAAGGTGTGGGGGTTTTGCAATACCAGATATTATCTTTATATTTCACTTCGTTCATAAAATCAACCTGTATATTATGCATAGTCAACCTGCATATAATGGCTCACAGGTCTGAAGGACCATGTAAAGATTTATATGGGAAATACAAGAAACCCAGTGAATAGGTGCTCGCATTGAAGTGCAAAACGACTGTGCGTGTGTTGGCATGTGGAATATGCATGAAAATACAGATTAACTACAGGAGATGTGTAGTGATAAAAATGTGTTTTGGAATGGGCAGGACTCTCATTACGGTACTGATTTCTTTTTTTTTTTGTTTATTATCAGCTATCTATTGTGAAATGTTGGGATGATATTAATATAGCTCTTTTTTCCCTAAAGCTAATACATTATTATCCATAATGTGCTTAAAGATTTTCTGCTGGGGACGGAAAACACTGCAGCCGTAGTATGGGATGGGAAATAACAATAATAAGATAGGACCCCATTTTAAAAAAAATTACACTATCTTTGCTGTATATTTTCAGAACTATTTTCATCCTTCCTCACGGGGGAAAAAGCAGGAATTTTCACACCACAACCTGCTGTTACCGCTACTTTGGATGCTGCTGCTCCACTGCAGCCTGAGGGCAAAGCTGGGTACATTTCTAGGCGATGGCAATTACATATCCTTTTGCACAACACTATATTGTTATTCTTTGAGAACTGTTTCCTGTAGGTTTGCATTGTATTGCCTTCTCTTAATGTACAGGGTATTATATTGGAAAGCATTCCATCATATTAAAATAGTTGGGATTGTCAAGTGCAATGCAGCGTATTGACAAAATGTGGCTTTGTGCTGCTTACGTGAACTGCTTCATAGGAAAATCTGATAGATGCTTAAAATACCAGGGTGGAGCTCTTTATTGAGCCTGGAAGCTTAAGCCCATTAGGTGTTACGGGGGTTTCTGCGGTAGTGTGCTGCCTGCGGAGGGTTGTAGGATACCCGTGAACCCGGCCCGTGTACACACACACTTGCGGTCCGTTGATCAGATGAGATATTGAGCTCTGAATCTAACTAAACAGTTCATTAAACTGAGCGCGTCACCTGGACTGCAGCGCCGTTACCGTATCAGCGCGGAAGGCAAAGGGCCGCGGCGTTAACAGCCGCTGGCACCCGCAACGCCAGCTTTCGGGTGTAAATACTGGTTCCGAGGAGCAATGGCTTCGAAATTGCTGCAGAAATGTGATGTTTTCTTCAGCAGCAGATTGGTGATTTTCCGTCGCAGGAGGGAAGCTGACGCCGGCGAATACTCGGATTGCGAATGTGAAGTAAAAGTGAATCCTTCTATTAATGATTGCTGCAGGAGCTACGCAAAATAGGAAAATCATAATATGTTCGCACCTTGAGATGCTTCCTGTGATTAAAGGCCTAAATTATAAACATGATGACTAAATCATAAACATGATTTAATGAGCGTAGTCGTAAGAGTAAAAAGGAGCATTTGAAATAAACCCGAGCCTGGCACTGCTGTGTTACTCAGCTATGTTGATAAAATTGCACATCTCACCTTCTTCCCCAAATAACCAGAACACTTCTCCCTTCTACAAACCAGGGGTCGGTCTTAAATTTTGGCAGGGAGCATTCCGCAGGTTTCCCTTTGTAGTTGGGTTGCTTCACATCATTCATACGATGACCTTCAACTTTATGAGAAGGTGGAATAAAAGATGCGACATCTTCGCCTCAATTTATGCCAAGGACATGGTGGGGCTGGCTCACCTTTTGCGAGAGAAACTTCAAGTAGTTTACTGCGGTTCAGATTGATTGCAAGGTCTGTGGTCCTCAAAGGGAACCCATAAAGTTCAATTAAAAATCTCATTAGACTAGTATAGGAGGATCAAAAAGAAATCACGGCGACTCATGGGAAATGGCGAGTGTTGGGCTGATTAGTCCAAGGCCATCCTAAATGACTGTTCTGTGCCTTAAATAAGACGTCTTCAGCGGTCTGTTAGCGGCAGTCGTGGCTGCGTACGTTGGTTTTTAAATTCTCTCCGACTGTGTTATTTTTCAGGCTGAACCCCAGCTAAGTGTACAACGTGATGCTAATATGAATCTATCCCGAGTCGAGGGTACTAGCCAGCCAAAATGTTTTAAACATTGGGAGGTTGGGAGGCGTAATCGTGCATTTACGAGAGGTACGGTATTTCTGTCGGGGAGGAGGGGGAGAAAAAGCACCAGGGCGTAAGCAAACCCAAAGCTGCTTTTTCGGTTGTTTTTTTTTGTTTTGGTTTGGTTTCTTTTTTTTTTTTTTTTGCCAAGCATGATTCTTGTTGTATGCTACAACTGGATTTTTCAGCTGTTTCCATTACGGCCGGGCTGATCTGGTGTTGACAGTTGGGCGGTTTCTGGAGGCCTCCAGCCCACCGGCGGGATAATGGGACGCTCAGGTTTCCCTTGCCCCGAATTGAAAACTCTTTAACGAGCGGAGCGCCGCGCCGCTCCGTCCTCAGACGGGATTTGCTAAATGCAGTTCAAAGGCAATCGATACCTTGCGCGGGGAGGTTTTTTTCCCCCCCCCCACCTTTTTGCTAAACAAACGCATTATCGAGGAGTTAGTTTATTCACAGATTGCCACGAGCGCTAATGACCACCCGAGCCTTGTTCTGCCAGTCACCCAGATGGCTGTTGATAAAGATTTAGCATCATGTTCCGAGTGTCAGGGCTGTCAGTAGCGCTGAACCATTTGACCAGAAGAAAAAACGCACAGGGAGCTATTGATTACAGCTTCTCAGTGTCACTTGTTCACCAGGATTTAGGTATTGATGAGGCTGCGAGTGAAAACAAGCTCTTTCCCTTGTGGGCCTCTACCCAGAAGAACAAAAGCAAAGTTGGAGAAAATATTCAGCTGGTGCCCGAATCAGAGGGACTCCGTTATTGATCCGAGGGCCCCTTCATGTTATTTTTGTTGGAGACAAATCTATGGGTTTGGAGGTTTTATAGCGTTTGAGGTAGGGTCTGTGTAAGTGATGGATTCGTGTATCAGATGAATTAGATTTCACAGCGTGAAGATTTCAGCAGAGCTATAATATTATGAGCTGCTTGGTTATTGATAAAAATTACATTAAATGTAGCTGAGGCATTAAAGCTCCAGACTAGGGTAGTACTCCCTCTAAAATGTCCTTAGGGCCCTAATAAATTTTAGCAGGTTTAATTATTTTAGTAGTCTGAAAGTTGTCACCACAATTAAGCCAAACCGAAGCAATATTCAATATTTTTAAATTACAGCACTGATACAGCCTTTGTGTCGCATTTTCTTTTACATCCGACGCTACGGAGGGTGACGTAGGGGCACTTGCACGCGTGAGGAAAAAGTCAGTATGAAATTCTTTATTTCGGGCATGGAAAAAGCTACATTTTTTTCATACCCTCTTCTTCTTGCTTTTTGGTAAGCGGCTTAGCTGTGCGTCCCTGTGTTTATGAAAGGGTCCTGCACTGACCCAGGGATACCGGAGACTGAGCGATAAAGTCCTTTTTTTTTTTTTTTTTTTTCTCCACTTGGAAAACACCTTCCATCTTCTTTCTCACGCAATTTAGCAGAAGTCATCAGCTTACCTCCTGACAAAATGCCCCAGTACATGGACCCCCCCCAGGTTCGAGTGTCTCTGCACCATCTGAGCAGCGGCAGGGAACTGGCTCACAAAGAGGTTTTGGCCCCTGTCCGTAGCAAAATTTATAGCCTTACCGTCAAAATATGCTGATTTACTGTATATGTTTTTAAAGAATTGGAGATTAACCTTGGAGAGTTTTTACAGTATATTATTATGGATTTGTCACTCGAGAAAATCTGCCTGCAGTAACCGGTGCACATGGATTGTAAAGGCAGAGAAATCCCAAAACAGGAAAACACTTGCAAAAAGCAACTTCCTTAAAGAAGTCATAAACCAGGCGTGGGATGGCATGGTATAGAGTAAAGATTTTATTGGTGCTCACTGGAGTTGTCATGGATGCGTAATTCACTTGTGGCATCACCAGCTCCAAATAAAGCAGCTATTATAAGCATTTTTTATTAAACCTTGATTAACAATAAGCACCTATGTGTATTCCCATTTAATGTGATAGCCTGTGGGCTGAGACTGAGCTTTTAAACTTCAGCCATTGAGATGACTTTAAAAAACCCCAAAGAACCCCCAAAAAACCCCAGTTTATAAAGGTCTGGCCAGTAGCTCTTCGGCTACTTTGGGGTTTGTGTGTCCCAGACTCAAATATGAGCACAGCTTGAACTGTACTGAAATAACTATTAAACGGGATTCAAATAAATCAGCTTAAAGTACATAATTTGTCTGTGTGTCTATATATATAAATAAATTATATGTTTTGACCTAAAATACCCAAATTTGTGAAAGCTGCACTTTTTAGTGAGTTATTGTTTTCACAGCTATATCATTGCAATCGAATTACTATGCAGTTACCAAAACACATACGGCGTGATTAGAGATGATGTATTGCATTTTTTATGGTGTGTACTTCAACTATGATAATCACCTGTAATAAAAAATAATAAAATAAAAAAAAAAAACCTACAACAACAACAAGACCGCGTTTATGTACTACTCTACATTATCAACCTATTATGTAACTTCTTGCATTGATTTTTCAGAATCCCTGACATTTGGCTATAAATGATACAAAGTAGAAGGCGTGAGGAAAAAAAGTTCTTAAATTGGTTAGGTGTGAATTAAATCTCTCCTGTTGTAGGTTTTAAAAATTCACAACCCATTTGGGATTGGCTCGCTGTTAAATAATAAATAGCGCCTTGTTCTTATATAGAATTTTTCAGCAGCGCACGTGGAGGTGCGATAGCGAGAGGAGGAGATCTGCCGGGGGAGCCGAGGCTCGGGAAGCTCGCTCCTGGAAGCCATCTTCTCAGTGGTCTGTTTTTTTTTTTTTTTTTTCCAGAAATACATCCTCTCCTCATCCCGGGATGGTGATTAATAGCCATCCTCCACCGCCCTTGATAGCCTCGTGCACGTTTAGGGTCTGCGAGGGGGGCAGGAAAACCAGCCTCTCGCAGAGAAGTTTTTATCCGTGGGACCTGATGGGTGGGGTTTGCCCTTCCGAGACTTCACGGCGCTTTTATGGATTAAAATTTCTCCCGATGCTTCTTTTTTCCCCGAGGACCGGGTTGGTTTCCAGCTCCTGTGACCTCCCGGCACGGCCAGGGCTCGGCCTCCTCGTCCCGGCTCCTTCGGTCCTGGCCCTGCTCTCCCAGTGGCCGATGGCTCTGGGTTTAGCGGTGGATTTCTGGGTGTTTATCCCCAACCGCCGCTCCCCTTCGCCTCACCCTTTGCTCCTTGCCTTCTCTTTATTTTTTTTTTTTTTTTTTTTTTTTTTTTTTTGGCCTATTTTGCAGATCCCGATCCTCATCCCGTGCCACAGGGTGATTCGCAGCAACGGGCAGACGGGCAACTACGGAGGAGGAAACCTTATGAAAGAGTGGCTTTTGTCACACGAGAAGCTCCAGAAAGAGAAGTTAGCATATTGATGCAGCTCAGCCACGGCTGCTAACCAGCCAAGACATACAACCGCGGATACTTGGCTTATAACAAGCTCTCAGAGCGCCCAGCAGAATTCAGAAAAATGGTAAATATTTGAGTGACATATAAATATAATGCAACATCCAAAGTGAAATGTGTGGTGGCACCACTATATTAAAAAAGCGGGATGTGTCCTGAGGGATGCAGCTCGTCTGCCCTTTCTTGTTTTTACATTTTACAGCAGAATGACTACAGCGGTCCAGGCCTCTTGTGCGTGGAGTTTTGTTCCCAGCTCCAACCCTGTTTTGTTCTATTTTTAATGTCCATTAAAGCACGGAGAAGGGAGTGGGAGGGACGTGGCGAATGGGGGGTGCAAGCCTCCCCCCCAGGGAAGCGGCTGGCTCGCCGAGGGGCAGCCAGCGAGCCCAAACCCTGCCCGCTCCGGCCCCGGAGCCCCCCCTTCCATTTTGGTGCCAGAAACGGTGGTTTATGTAAACGGGAGTTCACGGAACACGTCAAGGTGCTTTCAGCAGCAAGCAGCTATTGGCTCGCTCGTTCCCAGCTTTTCTTTTCGGATGGCGAGAGATGGGAATAAAAAATTTTTGCCTTTGCAAACGCTGGAGAAAGCAGTTGAAGAGAAGCTGCGGATAAATTGTATGAAGAGTGTATTTTAAATCAGCGGTTTGCTTAACGCAACTTGGGCAAAATACTGAGAAGCTCATCGGAGCTGCATCTTTCTGAGCAGCACATTTCCTTTTATCGTTTGATATTTTTTTTTTTTTTTTGCACTTTAGCTTTTTGCATTTCTCTGTTATGCGAAGCTTTATTTCCCGTAGCCTCTCTGTAGAAAGGCGTCAGGTATTCAGAGATATTAAAGCTACCTTTTGAGGGGGTTTAAGCAGGGTTCTCTGCCAGTACGAGCCACCAGAAGCTGAAATTTTCAGTATGGGAATCGTAAATCGTAACATGGAAATACTGATTTTTTTTATGTGTTTTATCATATTTTCATAGATGTCTCTTTAGAAGGGCCATTGCTAACCAAGAAATTATTATGTTACAATGCGTTAGTTAATATAGTATTATTGATATCTCAGAATTACTTCAATAAAAAAACTGCTTTGCATGTACAAGTGTCTTTGTGTATGTTTATAAATAAAACACAGTATATGATATATGGAGAAAATAAACTATACCCAACTGTACAATATAAAGCTGTATTTTTATCAAGGGTTTCTGGTGGCAATATAAACCACGAAAGCAAAGCTCAAGTGGTTTGTACGTGTCACCAGAACCCTGAGATAAAAATATAGCCTTATAATATGTACAGTTTGGGTGTATTTTTTTTTTTTTTTTTGTATATAATACATGCTACCAACAAAAGAACACGGTAGCAAATATAAACTTTAACCTTTCTCACATTTACATGCCTTGCTGTTTTTCTTAAGGTACTTGCCTTCTTCGAGGGTACATCTTTATTTCTGCAGGCTCTTGGCGCTGGTTTTCGAGGCGGGTAACACCTTGCCCAGGCAAACACCCAACTTTTTTAGCAAAACCGTGGGTTTGCTCAGAGCTTCTGCAGGGGAGGGGGCGTGGGGTGGTGAAGGGCACGGGATGGGCAGGGACGGGCAGGGTGGGCAGGGATGGGCAGGGACAGACGGGAATGGATGGGCAGGATGGGCAAGGATGGGCAGGGACAGTCAAGGATGGGCAGGGATGGATGGGAAGGATGGGCAGGGACGGGCAGGGATGGGCAGGGATGGATGGGAAGGATGGGCAGGGACGGGCAGGGATGGGCAGGAACAGACAAGGATGGGCAGGGACGGGCAGGGACAGACAGGAATGGGCAGGGATGGATGGGCAGGGATGGAAAGGGACGGGCAGGAATGGGCAGGGATTGGCAGGATGGGCAAGGATGGATGGGCAGGATGGGCAGGAACAGTCAGGAATTGGCAGGGATGGGAAGGGATGGATGGGAAGAATGGGCAGGGACAGTCAGGAATGGGCAGGGATGGGCAGGGATGGATGGGAAGGATGGGCAGGGACGGGCAGGGATGGGCAGGGATGGATGGGAAGGATGGGCAGGGACGGGCAGGGACAGACAGGAATGGGCAAGGATGGATGGGCAGGGATGGAAAGGGACGGGCAGGAATGGGCAAGGATGGATGGGCAGGGATGGAAAGGGACGGGCAGGAATGGGCAGGGATTGGCAGGATGGGCAAGGATGGATGGGCAGGATGGGCAGGGACAGACAGCGCTGGCCGTCAGACAGCACCCCAGCCCAGGGAAGGGGCAGCCGAGCCCCCCCCCAAACCCCCAGGGGCAGTTTGGGGAGAGCGTGGGGTGACCCCATCCCCCCATCCCCTCCATCCCTCCAGCTTCCCCATCACCCCCAGCCTCTGCCAGGACCAGGACCAGTTCTCACATTGAGCAAGTAAGAAAAATAATCATTAACACACACACACACAAAAAAATATATATATATTTATATATATATAAAAATATATATTTTGGGGGTGGGGGGTGTTAATGATTATTTTTCTTATATATATATATATATAAATATATTTATTTTCTTATATACATATATATATAAAAATAAATATTTTCTTTTAGATTTATATATAAATAAGATACTGGCAAGCAAGGGCCGGGCTGGGGTTGGGCCTGGCCCCCAGGGTTCCCAGTGGGGGGTCCTGGCCCCCCTGCCCCACCTGGGCTGGCATCACCCACAGCACCCAAAGGCTCCTGGGGCGCCCAGAACCGCGGGGCTGGAGGGAACGTGTGACAACGCGGGCGTCCGAGCAGCTTGCTTTATAGATGTGAGAAAAGAGAGGGGGGAGAAAAAAAAACAAAACAAAAAAACACCCAAACCAAAAATCTCTGTGCTTTTTTTGCCCGGGATTGGGTTCCTCTGACCTCCTGAGTTCCCTGCGCTCGGCCTCGCCGCGCTCTGAACCGCTGCCCCCAAGCCCTGCGCAGCCCGGCACGGCAGCTGGCTCTGCCACGGCTCATACCGACACGCTGCTTCCCCCATTTCCAGCGACTAAGATAATGAAAGATTCAAAAATAATATTTGTTTTGGCGGAACTACATTTATAATGAAATAGATGTCCTTGACCAAGGGAGAAACTGAATTTTGCAGTGGGTCATTCTCATCCCCACCTCCTTTTTTTTTTTTTTTTTTTCTGTCCCCTCCATACAAAACACTCTACAGCCAGTCTAAGGCCAATAGAAATATTTTTGCAGGACTGTGTTGTATTTCCCGCATCAGATTTACAGCAGAATTGCAGCTACGCTGGTTGTACTGTTTTATGCCGGAATGAAAAATGCAGATTACATCCTGTGTATCAATACCAAATGGAAAAGGGCCCCAGGCTTAAGGATCCTTACAGATCACTTCCCTGCAAGCCAAGTTTGCAACGTCATGAGCTCATACTGGAAGCATCTTAAACAGAAAACCGATCCATTGTGGTGGCAGGGCCATTTTTAGATATGTGCCCAAATTTTCTTCTCTCATGCCGACGATCCATTTGGAATTAGAGGCATTAGTCATCTGATCAGGGCGAGGAAGATTTGGCCCGTGAAGTTCCCACTGAATTTTTCTAAGCAGGTCTCGAGCACCAGGCGCTTTTTGGGTGGTGGTTGATATTTGCTGTATGGGTTGAATAAGGAACGGTGACGTAGTTGGTAGGGCAGTACTACCACTTTCCAAATGATATTAAGTTAAAGGCAAGGAGCGGTAGTTTTAAACTACTGTTAACATCACAGATCATTATTTCCTCTAGAAATATCAGAGATTGTTACAGTTAATCGTTCTGCCCAACGTTTTACCAATTTTTAAAATTATAATATTTATGGTCTGTGTTGCAGCCAGGTTAAAGAGAGAGACTTGGTATTGAAATGTTTATTTCTTGTGAAGGGTGGTGCTGAAGACCTGCTTCTTTAAAGAAAAATGCAATAAGAGAATAAACCTATAGAAAGATTGCTTAAAAACTTAAAGCGCAGTAATCCAAGGGGAGTCCTGTAAGATTTATGTACTATTTCAAGACTAATTTCTCAGTAAGGATCTTACAGGAGTATAAAAAGCCTCAACGAATTGCATTCACAGATTTAATTGTAATTCCTTTTATATTCTTACAGAAATTGAATAGAAATATCGTTGAAAGGCTTTTCTGCCCTCGCCGGGTGGCTGTCCCCTCCACTCCGTGCTACCGTGGCCGGCGTTAAAAACAACAGAAAATATTACTGAGAGTTCCCTCACTTGCCATTAAAGCAGATGGGATCTTTCAGTTACGTTCATGCACAAATACATCTTATCAAAGGACTCTGCGCTATTTTTGTTTCAAATAGCACACAGAGGGTATGAGTAGCAAATAAAGACACTTAATTTGTGCCTTGAAAAAGGAGTGTTTTTCTCAGGTTTTTTTTTCTTTTTTATATCTTTTTTTTTTTTTTTTCCAGAAGACCTGCCCTAGCAAAACCTTTAGTCTCTCCTTCTCCTTAAATCTGGGATTTCCAGATGACTGGCTTTCAATATCGCTATTTCTTGTTGCGCGCCATTTTTAGCGAGCAGCAAGTCCTATTTTTATTATTTTTCCCCCCACCGCCACCACTGTCCAAACCCCCTTTTTTTCCTCCCCCAGATCATTACAGGGGAGAGCGAGGAGGGGCACATCACTGCAGATTGAGGGAGGGGGTGGGGAGTGGGAGGAAAACCACCTCCACCCCACTCCTTCCCAGTCCCGGCACTGGGAGAGGGGGATGCAGGGCTGGAGACCGAGCTCTCCCCCCGAGCCTGATCCAGACCAGCCCCCGGCCCGTGTGAAGTAACGGGCGGGTGGCAGGAGAAAGCGGGGGGGCTGGGGAGCTGCGGGGTGGGGGGCACAGCCTGCCCGGAGCCGGCGGCAGCGGCGGGTCTGGGCTCCATCAGCCGCGGCGCGATGTGGGAGCTGGACCGCAAGGTGAAAATTGACGTGAGCGCGGGGCGCTGGCAGCGCCTTGGGCTGATGAAAGGATATCGTTAACGAGCCTTCAACGTTTCTCATTAATGGCCGGGTTGGGTGGGTGGGGTTATTTCATTGAAATAAGCCAGAAGACAAAAATTCCACCTGGGCAGTAATTATGATCGATTCCATACACCACGTTTAGTTATCAATTTTGTAAAAGCTCTTGAAGCGCTTGCTTTGGTTATTTTAAACCAAGGTTTTTCCTTTGTGGCAGTGAGCAGTCCTCGAGCGTGGCCAAGGGCTGCGAGGCGCGCAGGGGACTCCCCTTGTGCTCTTCTCCTTGACCAATCTTCATCAAACCTGCAGGAAAACGGGTGCTGCTCCAGCACCTCCACCCTGGCCATGGGGGGTTGCAGGGTGCCTGGGCTGCACCCCTCAAGCTGGGGTGTGTTATTTGGGGTGGCATTGCTCTTTTTTTTTTTTTTTTGGCAATTACTGCTGCAAATTGCATGTCAGTGCCGTGGCATTTAAAAGCAGAGCTCTGGCTTGCTAAGTCGGCGGGGGCTCAACTCAGCCCGGAGTGGGGGGTCAGCCCTCGAGGATGGGGGGAAACCTGGGCTGGGTTTATAAAAATAACACCCCCCCGAGTGACCACAAGTGCGGGACCGATAGCAGTCACTGCGAAAAAAAACCCTGCACCCCTTACATCTAAGGAAGAGGAGCCTTGTGATGATGTGATTTTTCACTTTCCAACCAACGCCGAGAGGACCCGATGCTGTATAGAAAACGCACATCTCGGTTCAAAGAAATCGTGCTGTGATTTGGATCCGAGCTTGCCCCTGCCGCACGGCTCCGCTCAGCCCTCAGCAGCATCCTCTTAAAGCCATGGCCAGAGTCCGAGGGCAGGACGCCAGGAGGGGGAATCCCAAGTGGATTTTGATCCAGAGTTGACTTAAATTTTTAAAACTCTGGCAAACAGAAGGAAAAACCATCATATTTCCATAAGTGCGTGCAGGGATGCTTCAAAAAATTGCTGCTTTTTTTAATTGACTTTTCTATCGTGGCTGATCTTTCCTGAGGAGTTCAGCGTTGAACATGGCCCAGAATTTTTGAAGTGTAAGCCTCGAACGTGGTCCTTATTTCTGTTTTTATGAAGCGAACCCATTGTATACGCTTTTGAA